CCTAGGCTAATTTTCTCTTTGCCTGTTTTCCTTTTCTTTTTAGCCCTTTTCTTCTTTATTTCTTTCTCTTTCTCAAACTTTGGTGGAACATGGAAGGAGTTTCCCAAGTTCTGTATTTTTTTCTTATCCTGGAAAAAAACCCAGAAGCCCTTTTTCTATAAAGGATTTTATTGCTAATCTCTATGAGGAAATGGGGTAACTAAAATAATGACTCTGAGGATGATATAAGAGTTACAGAATCCTTCAAAGTTCTTCAAATTATGATCACTGAGCTTTTCTCTCACAGAAACCGGAAGCATGTTTACTCCCTGTCCTCAGTTTGATTCCTGTCTATGGGGCTTAACATACTTCCTACTTTTCCTAACCCTGTAGTTAAAGGACCTTTTGACTCCTGCCTTGTGAAGATCTTTCTTTACAGTACATTGTCACAAAGACCACAATAAGACAGAATACAATGATAAAAGTTAGCATCATTCTCATGTGATAGTTGGTATTTTTTAGAATCTCTTTCCACAAGTTCCTTCTCCCTTTTAAAATTTTCACTTAGTAAATATCCTCAATAGGAGTTAATAATTATGTAAAAATTTACGTATTTCATGTTAATTATTACTAAATAATACAAATTATATATGCAGAATAATTACTAGTAAGTAAAGATTGCTATGCACAGGAACAAAATGAAAATGTTAGCAGATTTTTTTAAAGCAGTGCACACTGGGTGATGTTTTGCTTTCTAAATTTCCTAATGAGGAAATTGAGCATGTGTAACTTTTATAATGGAAAAATAAGACACTATTTATGTATTTATTCAGTTAAAATAATCCTGAGGATTTTCTGTTCTAGGCGAAAACTATGATTAGAAGGACCAAGTCATTGTAACTGTTTCATTTTGCTCAGGATATTTACAGAAATTCTTTCCTAGATGATGCTTTTAGCATTTTCTCAAAGGAATTATCAGAGCTTCTTAAAATGAAGTAGGAAGCAACCTGATGAGATCTCTGTTTTAGAAAAATAACCAACCAAATTGTGAATTGTCCTGTTGTGAGTCTGGAGGTGGGAAACCAAACAAAAATCAGACCCTTTCTAGGAGTCTAAGGAGGAGGGTAAGCCACCCCTGAGCTGATGCAGTGAATTGGAGAGGAAGGAGGAGATATTAGAGCAGGCACTTCAAAGCAAACGTCCAAAATTACACTGCCTTTCATAACAGCCTGCCCTTCCCCACCCAGCACATTTGCTTCTCCTCTACCATTTCTTCTTCGGCCTACCACCCTGTTGTCTGAGACAGAAACTTTGACTTCTTCGTCCCCTTATCCCCACCTCCAGTGCATCATCAAGTCCTGTTAGTTCTTTTTCCTAAATATTTCTTGAATCCATCTATTTGTCTCTACCCTTTAGTTTAGGCCACTGTCATCTCCTGCTTGAATTTTTCTACAGAGTTTCCAAACTGCTTTCTTTGGCTTTTCGTTTTGCTCTCCGACAGACCATTCCATGACAGTGATTTTCCCAAACTGAAAATCCGATCTTAGTACTCATTTACTTCAGTAGCCTCTTGGTGACTTTAAGACACAGTCTAACTTCTTGTAAGTGGTTTCCAAGGCTTTTCCAGCGCTATACACCACATATCTTTCTAGTCTGGTTTCTTAACACAGTCTTCCTCACCCCACTCCAGCCTTTGACTTTTTACAGACCTACCCAGCTCTTCAGCTCATTGTTACCCACAAGTCTCAATACATACTATTCTGTCTGTATGGAGCACTCCCCTTTCTTCTCTTTCCCTGTACCTCTTTATTCCTTGATATCTCAATTTAAACATAACTGTACAATGGGCCTTATGTTAAATCCTCAAGCATCTTGGATTCCATATGATAGCACTGTATTTGTTGTATTTGCTTAATTGTGCTCCCTACTAGACTGTAAGCTGTGAGTATGGCCAGGAGCTGTAGCTGTTTTATCATTGTATCCAGCTCAGCTAGTACAGTGCAGTAGGTATTCAGATAGTCGGTGAATTAGACAAAGAAGAGAGGGATAAATTGGGGGGGGAGGGAAAGGGGAGAAAAGGAGGGAAGAGAAAGACAGGAAGGGAAGAAAAGGAAGGATGTGAAAGGAAAGGAAAAAAACTAAATGTATTGCAGGTAGGGACTAAAGATCCTAGGACATTTTGAGTGAAGCCAGGGTAAAAAAAAAAATGAAGCGATCAACAACATTCTAAGATTCTTTTGTTGAGTAACTGGGTACATGGTGATACTGTTTGCTAATTGGGATTGAAAAGACAGAGTAGGTTTGGGTAGAAGCGTAAGTACAGCACGAACATCTGCTGCAGAAGTTCAGTTGACAGTTAGGAATAGGAGATATCAGATGTAGTTTAGGAAAGAAGTGTGAGCCCTAAGTGATGACGGAGGTCGTGGGAGTGGGTGAGTTTTCCCAGAGAGAGTATATGGAATAAGGAGACAGCTGAGGTTGGAGTTCTGGAGACTCTAGCATTTAAAGAAACAGTGAAATAGCTCCTTAGTGGCAGCTGGGACTCCACCTCTCATCCTACCTTTATGGGACTTGTGAGTTCCTAAACACGTTCCTAAAGTATGTTACTCAGGAAGAATTTGAAAAAGCATGGCTGATTCAATAACTTCAGAGGTGGCGATGGAGGAGGTACTCCCTGATAGTAACTTTTTATGACTTTTTTCTCTCAGGAAATGACATTATAATGCATTTATGATGTTTCCTTTTCTCTAGGATTACTGAATTTAATAGAGCTGATTATTAACACACATTTTACTCATCTAAATTTATCCCTTTTTTTTTTTGAGTTGGAGTGTCACTCAGTCGCCCATACTGGAGTGCAGTGGCCACTCCCGGCCACCGCAGCCTCCACCTGCTGGGCTCCAGCGATC